ACAAGTAGCCTCCCCGACGCTTGCAAATGCCGAAGGATACAGGGTAGGGAGCGAGTGAGAGCAATATCCCATCCTCGAGCCAGATGGGGGGGTTTGAGGATCCAGGTCGAGGGCGGGGCGGAGGGCGGGCGGGAGGAAGGGGTCTCCCAGTCATCGAGAAGCCGCGGAAGGTCCTCGGGAAGGCAGTAGGAGCGAGGCAGCCAGGGTATAGAGAGCTGGGACCGTGTGTGGGAGAACCGAGTCAGCAGGTGCACCAGCTGGCATTTATCGTCCACCTCCCCCAGGAAGGGCAGGGTTGCTTTCCACTGCCTCCGGCCCCGGGCCGACTGCGGGACGTGGGAAGCGAAAAAGGCCGGCGTCGCCCACAAGATGTCAGCGTCCTGAGCATGGTCGGTGAGATAGAAGCGGGCAGGCAAGTCCAAGCTGTGTGCGAGGACGGGCATGTCCGTGTACACGGAGAGAGGGCGCGAAGGAGGGAAGGTGCGCCCTCCCACCGGTATCGGAAACGCCGGCGCTCGGCCTCGTGAAGCCATGGAGGACTCTGCCCCGTCGTTTGCATCTATCGCCTCACTTCGCCGGCCTTGGCGGCGTCCCTCCGACGCGCAATCCCCCCCCAACTCCTCCCTCACGACCGACCCTCCTGGATCCTGACCATGCGAGCAGCCGTCTTCCCCCCTCCCCAGAGCCTGTAAGACCCTCTTTTGCAAACTCTCCCAGTCCGACCCGTCCGTGTCCCATGCAGGTGGTCGAGGAAAACCAGCGAGCACGTCACGGGTGACCTCCTGCCCCGCCTCGAGCGTGCAGCGAGGCCAGGCCGCCGTAAAGGAGACGCCCACCCCACGATCTTGCATGGGGAGAAAGGACAGTCCCGGACCGCCCCTGCCGGACGCATGGTGGCGAATTCGTTGTCCCGGTACGTCCATGGCGTACCAGTATACCTCCGGGTGACATTTTTCGGACGCGGCCAACCGGAGGGGCTCCATGTGGGGCCACATGTTCGCCACGATCTTGTCCATGCTCTCTGCCACGGTTCCCCCCTCCTTGCTCACGACGATCTGGGTGCCATGGCCCATCTCGGCATAGCGGACGATGCTCCGGCCGTTGATCCATCCCAGCTGTGGGAAGGTCCGGGCAAGTGCCTCTTCCCAATCGGCATCGGCCTTGTCAGCACTCTCCTCCTCCCGTGCCGGACCCGGTGGCCCCTGCTCTGCCGAAGCCACGATGGAAATGATGACGGGGTCGTCCACCCACAAAGACTCTAGGCAAGGGAGGGCATGTAATGTGGGGTACAAAAGTGATTCCCAGGCCCGGGGCGTCTGAGGGGTTGTCAAAAGGGGGTTCCCCCGCAGGTCCAGACGTCTGAGCTTGGGCAGCTCGGTCATAAATATTGCGGGTTTCAAGGACGGCAACTGCCGATCCGACAAGTCCAACGCGACGATGAGAGGGCGATCCATTTCCACAGTTGATATTCCAGTACGATTCTCCGCCTTTTCCCTCCTCTCCGCCTCTCCCACCTCCCCCAAGTAACGTATCGCCCACTTTCCATAAGCAGGCGTCAGCCGACGGTTGACAATTTCTAGCCGCGTCTCCAGAAGCTTCCCGTCAAAGATACCGGTCAAATTTGCGTAGGGATCCTGCGCGTCGTCGTAAAGGCCAGGGTTCTCGTTCAGCCATACGGCCTTCAACGAGGGAAGCAGCTGAAGGCACCGCCGTAGGGCAGGCACACAGGCCCCGTCGAGACAATTCTCACGCAAACTCAGCGTCTCTAGGCCCGGTACAGCGCACGGAATGGCTTCAAGCACGCCTTTCAGGAATCGGAAGGCTGCTTGGGATCGCCGAGGTATGATGGCGTCCAAGTCTAGCTCTGCGTTTCTTGTGTGCTGCAGGATGTATTTTGCAATGTCTTCTTTTGACCCTAAGCTTGGCAATGCTTCATTTCCCGACACAGTGTCCTCCCACGTCGTGCTCTCAGTATCTGACAGTTGATCAGGAAAGCTCTCGTTTTCTTCCTCGTCCTCCTCGAGCCCGCATATGTATCGCATGTTGCTGCGAATATGCCGGTGGGCTTGTAAATGAGCACGTGCCGCGAATAGGGTAGTGCACCACAGGTGGTCGATCAAAAACACCGTCTCCTCCGCCTGGATGTCACGTGCTGCCACGTAGACCTCTGTGCCGTCTGCATTTTCTTCCTCCCGAAGCAGCTCGCGCCAGCCAGCCGCCTCCTCCACGTTGTTGATATACCGGGCTTCGACGAGCTGGGAGAGAGGACCTCGCAAATGCTCAGGCAGACAAGGCAAGGAAGGTGTGTCCATGGACGATGTCAATGAGCACAATAGAAGTCGATTGGTACCATCTGTGATTGACGTACAGGGTTCAATTAGGTGACAAGCGTGTGCTAATGGTTTGTAACCTCCTCTATCCTGAGGAAGTATGGTACATTCTCAAACATGTCGGCATCGAAAAATGATTCATCGACAAAACGTACGCGATGCATCCTCCACTTTATCATATGAAGCAATCATTTGGCAAGCGCGGCAAGAATACACCCGCACGGCCTTATATCTCTGCTGTACGCCCCCTTATGACAGTGACCACTCCGCGGTGCGTCACACCCAAGGGTTCGAAGCAAAGAGTACATCCTAAAAAAGATCCAAAGCCCTCGTTGAGACTCGCGCCGCAATTTTAAACACTCTGAATTTCTCACCCTGAAGAGTCGCCTTCGTCCGTTTGGTGTTGTCTTATGTTTTTTTCCGGGGGGCTGCCAAAAGATCGAGCGAGACTGTCGCCAGTGATAGGGCTCCATCACGTGACCAGGCCCGTCGACGTGTTCTCAAACAAAAATGCCGTCCACCGTTATTTTCCCATGCCACATGCAAGTCACGTCATGCGTGCTCTTTGCCCTTGTCCTGCTTGCCTCGTGCGGAGGCGGACGGGTACCGTAGATTGAGGGCTGTAATCCCTGAACAGGCGGCGTAAGGCGGGGAAACGAATCAGACGTTCCTTTCTCGCCGGCGTCGCAAAAGGGTGCCTGCTTTTGTCCGTGACTGGGCTGATTTCCCTCACTTCGCTTCATTTCGGGTTAACACGGGTCATCGCAACAGGCTGGGCATATGTGCCGCTGGAAATCAAGAGGGCACCAGTGTTTCGCGCGGATTATTGGATCTAGTCCCGCGAATCTCTAACAGGACCCTCGCAGATAAGCCATCAAAATGGCCTACGTGAAGCGCCTGTGGAAACGGGGCGTGCGTCGACAATCCTCCTTCGAGACCAAGCCAAGGTCCGATTCTCAGACGCAGATCGATTTGCTCTTGGAGCCGTCTTGTGCTCTGGCCAATGACGTCGACGGGCGCCCCCGTCTTGTTCCTGGGAGCGAGGCGAGCAGCAGCAGGCATCAGCAGGACGACAGAATGCAGCAAGAAGCCCTGGTCGGGGCCTTGCAGACCACCGTGCTGGAACAAAGTCGCAAGCTGAAAGACTTGAGCAGAAGCATCGACAGGTTGCACGCGGAGAACCGGCGTGCTGGTCACCACATCGAAGCCTTGCGGAGCCTCCTTGGCCACGTGACAGGATGCGACCTGGGAGGGAGCGGGCCGGATTTCCAGATGGAGGAAGTGCGCGAAACCGAGGAAAAGGAAGGGCGAATGCTCGCGTTGGAGGACGAGACTGCCCCTGTCTCCGATGATCAAGCCAGCGGCGTAACCAATATCGCCAGCAGGGGCATCGCTCCGGGTGCGTTTTCCACGACCCAGGCCGCCATCAGCGAAGAGGGCCCCGGCACTTCCCACGATATACAAGGTGTATACGCCTATTTGAGCAGCCTTGTGGCTTCCGCCACCTCGACGCTTTTCCCCTCTGTGGAACCGCTCGGTGGAAGCCTTGCCTCGGCCGCCTCATCCTCTTCCACCTCCTACGCCGACCTGCCCTCTCTGGCGTTTCCTGCCAGCACGGGGGCGGGCCCAAGGAAGGGGGTACCTACCAGTGTGGAAGACACGCAAGCCTTGTTGATGGGGCAGATATTGGAGAAGTTGCATTTGGCTGAGGACCGCTATGCTTTCCAGGCCGAAGAAATCCATGCGTGCCACAAACGGCTGGAGGGTTTGGAGGAAGAAGCGGCGGCTTTGCGGGCGGAAAAGCAACGGTACGAGCGCCTGCTTCTTGGCTTGAAGAGGGAATTGACGGCCTACAAGAACAAGCTCCAGGCCCGTGACTACAAGGAAGCGACAATGGAGGTGGAAATCGACCGCTACCGGCACGAGAAACAGCGCATGACGCGCATGTTGAGCGAAGTGGTGGACAGCGCGGCGGCTTCTTCGGCCCCTGCCTCCGCCACCAACACCCCGGGGTCTCAGGAGCTGGGGGAGTACTTCCCGCTGCCAGGGGCATCCCCCCTGGGGACGGGGCGGATGCGGGTGGGAAGTTTGGAAGGGGAGGGCCTGCCGCCGCCGCGCCCTCTCCCACCCCCGCACCCCACAACTTCGTCTGTACAGACCCTGGCCCTGGGGCTCGATACCGGGAGGGGAGGGAGGGGGGGAGGGACAGGTGGTGCCCCCGCTGCGCCCTCCCCTTCCAATGCGTCGGGAAGGGGGGGCACGGGCCCGGGACATCCAAGCGGCCACCCCCGGATGCACCCGTCGTCCCCCTCGAAATGCGCCCATGCCTTTTCGCCCCAGCGGACTCCCCCCCCCGGGAGGCGCCACTGGCCTCCCCCCTCGGACCTCGTCGCGAGGTCCGCTCCCACCGCTGCCTCCCCCCTGCCCTCTTCCTCCGCCGCCACCACGCAAGCCCTCACCCAGGCGCGTGTGGAAATGGCGGCTCTCCAGGCCGAGTTGGATGCGGCAAGGGCGGTGTCGGAGGTAGAGGTGAGGAAGAGGGTGGCAGCAGAGCACGAACTGAGCGTCTGGCGCAAGGCATTGGCGGAGTCAGGGCCCAGACTGTCGTCCGTGCAGGGGAGCGCGGCAAGGCCCGGGGGGGGAGAGAGCGTGTCGGGGGAGGGGAAGGGACCGGGAATAGGCGGGTTGGGCGGAGGGGGCCGAAGGGTGGAGGACAGGTGGAGCGGGGAGGAAGACGTGGAGGACAGGGAAGTGACGACCTTGGTCATCAAAGAGCAGCTTTCCAGCCTGCGGGAACTGAACCCGGCTTTCCACGCGAGCTGGGGGGATGCCACGACCGAATGGAAGGTGCGAGGAAGGACCTACATGGCGGACGGGGTCAAGGTAGGGGGGCGGGCGGCCGAGCCACTCTGCGAACTGGTGCACATGGAGCTTTTCGAGGTGGAGAGTGCCGGCCTTGTGCCCCGGGCGGACCACGTCACGGCCCTCTTTCAGAGGAAAGACGGGGTCTACTCGCGGTGTCAGCTTTTGGCCTCACAGCCCCCCCCGTTCTTGATCATTTTGAACTTTCAAGTACCGGGAAATCCTCCGTGCAGCATGATGTGCTATTTTGCTTTGTGTGGAGCGAGGAGGCAAGGTTTAGAGAAAGCGCGCGAAAGAGTGAGAAGACGGAAAGCGAGGGAGGGGGCGGTGGCGGCAGCAGAGATTATTGGCGAGGAGCAGGAGGAGGAAGAGGAGGAGGAGGAAGCAGAGGAGGAAGGGATGGAGGACCTGGGGGACGGGGAGTGTGTGCAGGAAAAGAGGGAAGAAAAGAAATTTCTGCGGCTGCTTGCGGAATTTTTGGAAGGGGACGATGAGGAGAAGAACCGGCGTTTCAAATTGATTCCGTCCATCATCGAAGGGCCCGCCTTGGTGCGACTGATGGTTGGGAATAAGCCCGTTTTGCTCGGGAATAAGCTGACCCAACGGTATTGGACAGGCCCCGGGTACTTGGAGATAGGGATCGATATAGGAAGCTCCGCCATGGCCTCGCGGACGCTGGGTTTTGTGCGGGACGGGAGCAAGAATGTGGTGGTGGAGTTGGCGGTCTTGGTCCAGGGGGAGGACGAGAAGGAGTTGCCGGAGAAAGTGTTGGGCTCCCTGAGGAGTTCGCGACTGGACTGGGGCCTGGCGGAAGGATTGAAAGGCCGATTGGAAGCGGCTGTCATCGCTCGGACGCCCTCCGGCGAGACCTCCTAAAGAAAGGAAAGGACCGAGGGGCGAAAAGGTGCGCGCGGAGAATGTATAGTGAGGCTTTCATTATGGGTATTTGTGTGTCTTTGCCTATCAGATAGAATTACGTTGAGAGTGAAATACTTCTCACTCACTGACTAGGGGGCAAGACTTAAATGGATAGGATGACCAGGAAGATACAAAGGAATTACATATTTTAAGAAGCATGGCCCATGACCTGGTGGATGCTTTTGTCAATATTGCCCCTGCATCAACTTACACGCGGCCTCCCACCTGCGACATGCTTGCATTTCTGGCTTTTGCTTGTGTGGGTGCGCAAAAACTCGACGCTTGTGTGCTATCGATACATAAGCGGGAAATACAACGACTGATGCATGAAAATGTGCACGATTCTTCACCCTTAATGCTATTCCTCTACGGTATCTACGATTATGCTGGTCTCCAAATTATGGGCCTTCAACCAGACTCCCGATCCGCCCTATCCACGCCCCTCTTTTTACATCCCCCTGCGATGACCGGACCCTTCATGCCCGCGTGCCTTCCGCGCCTTTTTGGTCCGCCTCCTGCAAGTTCTGCTTTCGGGACCACGTCTTTTGGTCTCCTAAAAGGCAGCTTCTGGCCCTGCTCGACAGAGGCCTGTCCCCCTCCGTGCATTGCTCCGGGGTCACGAGCAGGCCACCATCGCCGCCGGGAGCCATTTTTGCAACATGCTTCGGGCTTTTTCGGTCAGTCCCCGGCAATCCCGCATGTCCAAGCTCTGAAGGCGAGAGAAGGTGAGGAGAATTTCCACGCTCAAGTCGGTTAAGGCCGGGCAGTGCGCTAATGAGAGGGAGACAAGGCTTGTGGCTGGTTGCGGAGAGCCGACCCTCGCTCGGTCTCCCGTCTGAGGTAACGCGGTAGAAGAGTAGGAAACTGCAGCGCAATGGACACGCTCATTCACGTCGCGAGGGAACGCCTGCATTTCGAGCAGCCCAGTGGAGAAAAAGGAGTCGCCATTGCCAGAGCCGTCCACGTACAGGATGCGAAGGGCCTGGTCGGTGATCTGTGGACACCCTGAAAGCGATAACGCCTCCAAGGGCTGCCCTACCAGGGCCTCGCAGGCGGCATCCGTCAAGCGCTCGCAGCACGACAGGTCTAGGACCCGGAGGTGTTTGGAGCCTGGGGCCGGGGAGAGTAGGATCCGCACCCCCTCGTCGGTGATCAGTCTGTTCCAGGCTAGGTTCACTTCTTGCAGGTGCCTGAGATGTGCCAGAGGTCTCAGCCCGTCGTCGGTCAACAGAGTGCTTTGATCCCGCTTGCGCTTGGATACATCCACGGACTCGAGACGGGTGAATCTGAAAATCTCCTGCAGCCCCTGATCCGAGACGCCACAGCCCCGCAAGCTAATGCGAATCAGGGTGGTATTGCAACGTGTGAGTGCCATCGTGACGGAGTCGCCCACCGAGTCACAAAATGAGAGATCCAGGGAGTGCACGCCCTGAAAGCGCGAGGCCATCCTCGAAAGGTGGTTGTCATCCAGCTGCGGAAGCCGGGACAAATCTAGCTCATGATAGCATTTCGAGGCCATCGCGTGCCAGCCTTTGCTCACCAAGGACAGATTAGTCAGTACATAGACTGAGTTGAAATAGCCTGAGTAGAGAACACATGCTTGGATGTCAGTGGGTAGCATGCAAAACGTTGCGGGGGCGGTGGATTGGCCCGTAGCAAGCCTTGAGCCCAAGCGGCGACCACTGATTTGGGAGCAACGTTTATCTTCTACGTTGATACATGAACCCCCAGTGTGGATACTCGATTTTGTGTAACCATTGGTTGTGGCAGATGTCTCTTGATGATAGACAACGCGGGATGAGAGACGCCGTCTCTTTTTGGGTTGCACGGCGATTGCCACCGTGGTAGGACCCCCATGCGACTCTCGACGCTTGCCTGCGACATCCTCTGCCATTTCTGCTGTTTCAAAAGATTTTTGAGCCCAAGCACCGGGTGGCATGTGTAATTGGCAACTGTCTTGGTCTTGGCAGGTTGCGGTCTAATTTACCTCCTGCCTTCCTTTGGGTAAAGCGGGAACGGGCGATGGAATGGGAAAAGAATTTTGAAAGGCTCGAATATAAACAATTCTGGCACACAAAAAGCTTGACAAAGACTGTGCTGAAGAAGCACGCATTTATCTTTTCATTGCCGCTTTGACTTCTCCAACATACGCAACAAATAAGTTAAGGGGGGGAACGCGCGGGAGAAGATGTACACTTATTTCATAACATGCAAAGCTAAAATGTAGAAAATCCTCCAGCACATGAATTTGTAGTGTATACTAGAATCTTTACTCAGCTTTTGGCACACATCAAAGGAAAAACCATGTTTATGGAGGCATAATCCCTGTTGCCCCAACTTGTTCGGTGGGAAACATTTCATACGTGGTGCCAAGGCGCGAAGCTTCGTTTTGGTCCCCTCTTTTTCCCCTACGCTTCTTACGCCCTTCCCCACAGCCAAAACCTGTCATCGGAGACAATACGGTGGGGGTGCATGAGACTTGTCGAAGGCCGTGACATATTATCGTACCGGGTCACTTGGAGGCGCGACGAAGCATCATTTATGTTCTCCCTCCACTCTCCCAAGCCTTGTACCCATTACCAAGCCACATTCTACCACCCCCCCTCACAGCGGTGTTTCCCAAAAAAATCCGTACACCTACAGATCAGTCGGGATGGCACAGTCAGAACAGCAACCATCGTCCACTCCGCACACCAATTGCTTTCCATCCTCGCCCAAGCAGCACGCACACACGACGCTCAGCGGAAGAAGAAGAATGCTCCCATTTTCTGCGCCACTTTTGTTATTTTCCTGCCAACTCGCCCTGCTTTCCCTTGTCAATGCAATTCAATTGGATCTACAACCTCACACGACACGGTGCGTTGCTGACGAATACGCCCCCGAGGAGGATTCGACGATCAAAGTGCGGGCTGTAGGACGTGTGCAAGACGGCATCCGCGGTATGGTGTCAACACCCGACAACCGCCTCTTTTGGGATGGGTACTTGACAGCCAAGATTGAGGACGTGAAAATTCCTGCAGATTATTTTGGACTGTACAAGATCTGCTTTTGGAACGGAGGAAGGGAAGTGCAACGGGTAGAAGTAGGACTATTGGATAAGGCCGTTCAGCTCCAGAACGCGGAGACCGCCAAGACCAAAGAGCATCTGCAGCCTCTGCAGCTTTTGTTTCGTCGCGCAGAGCTTACCGTGGCCGGTGTAAGCAAGGAACTGGACAGTGTTCGACAACGTGAGGCGAGCCTGCGGGAGACGAGTGAATCAACAAATCGACGCATCCAGTGGTTCTCGATTTTCTCCATTGTGATCCTGTTGGCGGTCAGCATCTGGCAAGTGACTTTCCTCAAATCTTTTTTCCGGGCCAAGAAGTTACTTTGAGGGGTAAGGGCGGGGACTGCAAGAGAAGGAAGCATGCTTGGAGGCCGGGGAGTCGGAGAGAGACGTGGAATGAGGAAACCTGTTGGCGAGCAAGATATCCAAGACTCAAACAACACGAAACTTTCCGCTCGAAAACCTTGTCTCTCGCGCACATTTGGTTTTGATGTCCCCCACCCGTGCCTCATCCGGCACGCCCCCCCATTCATGCCTTCCCTATCGCTCACTTTATAATGGCGCCCATGCACCTGATCTACACGGCGACTAATTTCTTTCCTGACTGTACACCCCCTGTCGTCCCGTCTACCACTTTCCTTCTCCGGCGCGAGTCCAACCACTAGCCACCGTCCCCTCCCCCACCAAAACTGCAGGCTGACCTGCCACGCAGTGCCCCGAGTCGCATGACTCTTTCTGGAGCGATGCATATCCGTCCATCCTTGCCCCGTCACCTCCGTGCCATCCACTTTTCCCTTACCGCCAAGTCTCTGGAAACGTAGGCGAGGATTGCGTCACCCCAGACGGCGCAGCCGAGGCCCATGCCCCTTCCCTGTATGCGTGCTGCGGCTCTGAGTAGGGCAGGTCGAGGTAAGCAGGTATTCGTCTCTCCCTGTGCCGCCTCTTGACCGCCCTGCTCCGTTCAGTGGTTTCCATGACCCGTGACCAATCGTGCCTCTCTTTCGCTGCCAACACCTCCCCTCCCACCTCTTCGACGCCGTTTTCCCACCTTTCCTTCCTCTCGAGCCCGTCCTTCTCAGCGCCCATGCTTTCCTGGCCCTCTTTCCCTCCCTCCCCTCCCCCATCCCTCACTGCTGCGGTCGAAGAGTCGGAAACGAAGAGTGCAAACGCCTCTTTTTCCTTCAATGCCTCCACTGCCCTCGCTGCCTCCCTCTCCTTCAGAAGCCCCTGTGCCGCCATGTCTCCTACCAGATACCACGACACCGGCCAGGGGTCCTCACGCCGGCAAGGTCCCCAAGAACCTCTATTGCCACGTCAGGCCCTGCCATCTCCCTCTCCCTCTGTCCCTCCATCCTCTCATACCATCTCCGTACAACCCCTTCCCATTCCTGCGCATGCCCCCCTTCCTCCCCCGAGACCACCGCCAAGACCTCAGTCAGAAAGGGCCCAATGGGAAGGCCGTGGTCAAGCAGCCTCTTCCGGACCCCTTCTCCCACCTCCCGCCCCCGCCCTGCTTTTGCTGCCCGCAACACTAGGAGTGCCATCGCCTCCTCCGCCAGGCTGGAGCTGGCACAGGCGCCCACTCGGTCCACAAATGCCAGTCCGTCGTCCCAAGCCCCCTTAACCGCGCAGGCACTCAGCACGGCGCAGGAGAAGTATTGGTCCGCCTCCCCCTCCAAGCCCTTGACTTGCATTCGCTGCCACCATCGTTGGACGCCTGCCCAGTCCTGCCCCCGGGCACAGACGTGCACCAGCATCATGTGCCCGTAAGCGTTCATGCCTGTATGAAGGTCCTCGCGTCGTTCTACCTCACGCACACATGCCAAGGCCTGCTGATATTTGCCCGCCACCCCAAAGGCATGCATGGCGTACGTAAAGGTCTTCAACGTTCGCACGCCCCCTTCGCGTTGATGGATGCGCCCCAGCAGGTCCTTCACTTCCCCCCATTTTCCCATCTTCTCCCAGGCATACATGACCATGACCGTACTGACCTCCTTCGTGTCCGAGAGGCCCAATTCCTCCATCGCTTCGTGACAGGCGATCACTTTTTCCCATTCCTTCCTCCGTGACAACAACTTCATCAGCTTCCCAAACACGGCCCCATCCGGGCGG